GAAAAGAGTAGAATGCTCCCCCCACCCCTGGAATTCTTCTGCAAAACCCTCCTGAACTTCGCCAGCTTCCTCTCACAAGCTTATTGAGTAAGAGCTTTTCTGCTAAGGGATCACATCTGTCTGATAGAGACCTAGAAAATGCTTCTTACATTTATTCTCTGGACACCTTGAGGAGAACCTGTCACTTCTGGGTCATTCCCAGCCTTGGAGCTGCAGCCTAATCACCTCTGCTGCAGAAACCCAGAGCCCTTCATAAGTCGTCAGCATGATGAAGGTGAGGGTCCTGCTCACAAAGGCAGCACAGAATATGGCAAGACATCAAGAGTGACCTCCCCAGCAGAAGAGTTCAGGACTACCTCCCCCCACCTCTACCCAGAGAGATTTAGGAATCAGAATGAATGGGAAGACACACTATGCTCTTGGATAGGAACCACTAAATATTCTGAAAAGAGCGGCTTTTATCATCTTGGCACATAACAGGTCCAGCCAAAATCCCAGTGGAATTTTGAGAATTTGGGAAAATATATTCTAAAGGACATCTAGAAGAGAAAACATGCAAGAAAGTCAAACAGTTTTGAAAAAGAAAATGAAGAGTGGCCACCTAGAGAATAAGACTTGCAATCCAAAGCTTCACTTGGGGATCTCTAGCACCAAAGTGGACAGATAAATACGCAGAGTAGCTCTTTCATTTACCTGGACAAGAAGACAGATTCTATGAATAGAGCTGGGCCGCTGGTTTAACTATTATATTTAGGGAGAAATGTTTAGATTCTCACCTCATGTCATACACCTAAATAATAAATTCCAGATGAATTAATAAATCAAGTGTCAAGAATTAGATTACTGAAAACATAGCAGAAAATATTGATGATCTTTATGTGCCACACAGCAATAGAATAAATCACAAAGGAAAATAAATCTGACTATATTACTATTAAAGTTTGCTGGTCAGGGGCTCCTGGGTGACTCAGTTGGTTAAGCAGCTGACTCTTGATTTTGTCTCTCAGGTCATGATCTCAGGATCCTTGGGTCAGGCTCTACACTCAATGGGGAGTCTGCTTGAGGATTCTCTCCATTTGCCCCTCCCCCTTTCAAATAAATAAATAAATCTTTAAAAAAGTTTGATGATCAGAATTAATCAAGAACCAAAATAAAGGTGATCAACTAGAGACATTATCTGCCACAAACATAATAAAGGGTTGATGTTATTCATCCATGCAGTTCTCACTCAAGTCATTACAATCAGTGCTGAGACCTGAACAGAGGAGAAAGGATATAAATGAGCATTTTATGAAAGAGGAAACCAGTACATGAGATTTTTACTTATACACCTGCATATCCATCATGTTTCAGGAGGGAAACTTGGTCACTGAAAGGAATTGATCAAACCTAAAGAATAAAACCACAGAGCTCATAAAACTTCTTAGCGCTCACTAAATCTTTAGCGGTAGTTTGCACAGGGTGCCCTGCGTGGGTGGGCCTGGCTTACCTGGCCCAGGTGTAGTGTCTCCAGCCAGTTTAGGAGGCCTTGAGCTTCTAGGAGGAGCCCACTGCACCAGTGGGGAGGCATCTGGTGACTCAGCCAGAGGAAGTCATTCACGGACTGGACAAGCCTTTGGGTGGTGACCCGGGACATCCTGAGAGGCTCCACGAGTGAGGAAGACACTACTTCCTAAAGCGAGGTAGGTAGGGAGCAATAGTCTTCTCAGATAATGGAAGTAGTCCCTCTTAGAGAGGTGTTCTGACATTTTGGGGCTTTCTAAGGGCAACAGTCTATTAATCATATCTAAGGGGAGATCTTAGATCTGCCTCAATCCTAAGCCTTGAATGGTGACTTTGATCTGCCCAAAATAAAGTCCTGCTCATCTTTGGGGAGATGTCAAAGATTTGGAGAACCTCAATCTTGGATGTCTTTGCTAAGTGCTCTCTGAGGGACAGGGTCCTCAGAATGAAAGGAGGCCCCTTCTGTATAGGCAGTAAATACCTAAGTGGGACAGGCCACCCACCCAGCAGAGGACTCCCTGAACTCACTCTTTTTTTCTTTTTCGAGATTTTATTTTTAAGTAATGTTTACATCCAACATCGGGCTTGAACTCACAACACCGAGATCAAGAGTCGCACAGTCCACCGTCTGAGCCAGCCAGGTGCCCCCGCTGAACTCATTCTTAAAACCCTCCTAGGTCATGTGGCTCTTGCTAGCTTCTTGCTAGCTTCCTACATTATGGATAGACAGAAGGGCTCAGACGGCCACCCCAGCATGTCCTCCCTAGAGAGAGGAATGAAGCTAGACACAAGTCTGTTGGTGGCCAACTGGTGTAGACGCAGTGCCAGAAACCTTTCTCCTCCACCATCAGTGTCAGGAAAGCATTATGAGAAGGGTTCACCCCAGGTGGACTCTCCCACCTGGTAGCCCACCCTTTATGTGACCTGCCCAACATCCGTCACAGGTGAGACATGGATTTTAGAACATTCTGTAATTTCGTAACGCATTTAGGGAATGCATGACATCAGATTTGCCTTCCACATCTTGCCTTCTTGCCTTTAGCAGGTGTCATTAATCGATCATGGAAGCCAGGAAACCAGGGCGCTAGATGTGGTGAAGGGGGGAGGGGGGAGGAGAAGTCTCCAACCTCTCCAGTTTGTGTTATCAGCTCTCCCCTTGGCAACTCACCCTCACCTCCATTCCTGGGTGCCCTGAAAACACTTCGTGAAATGGAGACAGAAACCTTAGAGGCTAACCATTAACGAATTATAAAGGAAAAGTATCGATTTAAAGCAAAGAATGCAAACAATCAGAATAAAAGAAAGAACATAGGTGAAAGCAAATTAAAGAAGGGGAAATGGCAGCACAAATTTTTAAAAAGAAAATGAAGACTAAATTTAGATTAAAATTATGAAAAATTTTAAAAGTTACAGTTGAAGGAAAGATTAAAAGAAAACAAGCGCGATGTAGAAAGATATAAAGATAACAGACGCAAATAGATTTTAAAGGGATTTCAAAAGTTAAAAATAACGAGATGATCCTCTGGGCTACTTTGACAAATCTTCTGTAAGTCTAAAATGATCTAGGGACACCTGGGTGGCTCAGGGCGTGATCCTGGAGTGCTGGGATCGAGTCCCACATCACGCTTCCTGCGTGGAGCCTGCTTCTCCCTCTGCCTATGTCTCTGCCTCTCTTTCTGAGTCTCTCACGAATAAATAGATAAAATCTAAAAAATAAAAAAATGATCTCAAAATAAGTTAAAATACTAATTAAATGAAAAGCGGACATGAATCTGGGGTAAAAATTAAAAGTAAAAATAACAAAATGCTATAAAAATGTAAATCTATGTAAAATAAGTCAACACATATGTTTATTATATATTTATTTACGTATATTTACACATTATGTATACTTATGTAAATATATGTAACAAATCAAGTAAATACATGTAAAATAAATCAAAACAGAGATAGTTGAGTTTTTTAAAGGGTAAGAAATAAAAATCAAGACCAAAAATTACAGAGGGGTAGAGAGGAAGTAGAAGCAGCTAGAATAGGGGAGTTCCAGAGATAAGAATAAAAATGAAGTAGAAAATAAATAATATTAGATAAGTAATTTATTTTTTGTTATTAAAAGATTTTATTTATTCATGAGAGACACAGAGAGAGAGAGAGAGACAGAGGGAGAAGCAGACTCCATGCAGGGAGCCTGACATGGGACTTGATCCCGGGTCTCCAGGATCATACCCTGGGCCAAAGGTGGCACTAAACCCCTGAGCCACCCAGGCTGCCCAAGATAAGTAATTTAAAAGGAAGATGTTGGGGTACCCAGCTGGCTCAGTCGGCAGAGCATGTGACTCTGATCTCAGGGTCATGAGTTTGAGTCCCCCGTTGGGGGTAGAGCTTGCTTAAAAATAAAATCTTAGGGCAGCCCAGATGGCTCAGCCCAAGGCGTGATCCTCAGCCAGGGTGTGATCCTGGAGGCCCTGGGATCAAGTCCCTTGTCGGGCTTCCTGTATGGAGCCTGCTTCTCTCTCTGCCTGTGTCTCTGCCTCTCTCTCTCTGTGTCTCTCATGAATAGATAAATAAAATCTTAAAAAGGAAGATAATAAAGTAAAAGACAGGAGTGTCAAATTTCAGAGATAAAAATGAAAATAATGGAATAACCCAAAGTGGCATGAATACATGTTACATGATACATGTTACTCTTCAGCTGTTCAGGACTTCTGAGCCCGGTCCTCTGAATGCACATCTAAGGGGCCTGGTGGGGGCCCTAGAGGTGAGTGGCGGCCCAGCCCTGACCTCCAGGGGAGGCCACTCAACTCAGAGCTGGGGGTGGGCAGAGTCAGGACATTTGGGTCAAGAGTCAGTTTTGCTTTGCTGTTGCCTTGCGATGGAATGATCACTTTTGCCTCCCTGTGCTTCCCTTTCCATACCTGCTGATGCCTTCTGTGTGGTCTTACCCTTTCCATTAAAAATTTTTAAAAATCAAGCTACTGGTCAGCAGCATTTATATTTTAATGAAGTGGAAAGAGTACTGGGCATAACAGGGCAGGCCCCCTGGACCTGCCCACAGGGTGGTTTTGGGTAGGAACTGATGCAATTAGAGGTGATTAAAAGTGCACACACAGCAGGCACCTGGTGGCTCAGTGGGTTAAGTGTCTGCCTTGGGCTCAGGTCATGATCCCAGGATCCTGGGATTAAGCTTCACATTGGGCTCCCTGCTCAGCAGGGAGTCTGCTTCTCCCTCTCCCTCTGCTGCTCCCCCTGCTTGTGCTTGCATATGCTCTCTCTCTGTCAAATAAATGAATAAAATCCTTTTTTTTAAATGCACATACAGGTAAACAGGACACCTCGATGAGGTTGGGCATCCCATGTCAGGGAATGGGGAGGCAGAGATCTGTTTGCTATGACCTGGGGAGTTGGCACTTCTCTCCCTGCCCCTACCCCACCACCCAAACCACTTAGGTCCCTCGGCTTAGCATGCTAGGCCTCATCCTCCTATCTCCCTTCCTCAGGTGGGCCTTGACCTAGGATGGCTGAGCCCCGCCAGGAGTTCACTGTGATGGAAGATCATGCTGGGACATACGAGAAAGATCTCCCCTCTCAGGAGGGCTACACCCTGCTGCAAGACCATGAGGGGGACATGGATCACGGCCTGAAAGGTGAGTGCACAGCCACACACACACTATAAGCCCCGGGAGCTTGCTCTGTAAGGGGCTGGCAGGAGGCATGCATGTCCAGATTTTAAAAGGAATTTTAAACACTTGTATTGGATTGTCAACAGAGTGAATCCTCATAATTTGAAAGGGCCAAGACAAAATGTGAGACTATTTGAAAATGTACCTTTCTGAGGAGAATTTGACACGTGTGGGGATGGAAGCGTGACAAAGATTGGAGGGGGCTTGTCAGTCTAATTCATAGGGGGTGGTCGCTTGAGACTTTAGCCACATCTATTAATCTTGAAACCAGCTGTGTGCACTAGCGTGCAAAATGCTCGGCTTTGTGCGTTATTTCTATGTCCTCCGTGTGAGCCTGTCTGGGCCCTATTTCAGTGAGTTGGTCAGCTCTGGGATTCCTATTGAACCTACACGAAATGACTGCATCTTTAAAACCTCTAAATATTCTATAATACCATCTTTGGGCCAAATTGTCTTGGCCTCCTTCTCTCCACTACCAAACACGTGTGTTTCAGTCCACTGACCACGGAGCCTGGGGAGTCCCACAGAGAACACCGTACCCTCTCTCCTGTTTTGTATGCTGCCCTCTGCGTCATTGCCAGCAGCTCCAGGCGGACCCCAGCATAAGAAGAACTCTGTCCCTGCCCTCCAGACCCATTTCTAAGGAGACAAAATAGCAAACAGACTATTTGTTCTCTTTTAATGCTAAAAATAATAAAAAACACTTGGCAGCCTGGGGTATGGAGTCATGGCTGGAAGTGGTGGAGCTCTAAATTAAAAAGGGTCCTCTTCCAGGGTACTTCTGTTCAGGAAGGTTCCCCGAAGGAGATGGAGTCCCCAGGAGGTTCCCTGGGTTGGGGAACAATGAGGAACAATAATTAATCCCTACTTGCAGGATTTGTTGTGGGCCTGGTTTCAAAGGCAGAGAACCTGGGGATCAGACAGGTGGGCTCCTGGCTGGAGGACATGAAGGAAGAGAGGGTACACTAGCACACTATCCTGGGGAGCTCAGAGGATGCCCTCTGGCCTTCTTGGGCACCCTCCCCCAGCACCAGGTGCTGGAGGAGGGAAGGAGGGGGAAATATCCATGCCAGTCAGGTGTCCCAGGGGGCAAAAGGTGAGGCCATTTGAAAATATACCTCCTGATGTCCTGCTCTCTCCTCTAACCCCCATCCTTCTCCAGCCGCTTCCCCTTTTCTCTGCCCACCCTGACCCCAGGTGTGTGGATGAGGGATAGTGGCCCCTAGGACCTCGATCCCAAAAGTTAGTAGCACCCCACTTTCTCCCTGCAGCCCTCCCTGGCTGAGGCAGCTTGGGGTGGGGGCTGAGGCAAACTCGTTCACTGACCCCCTGACTGAGGCTAGGGCTCCTTCCTCTGTGGACCTGAGCCCACACATCCCTGCACAAGTCTGCCATGTGTCATGATCACCATCGCTGCTTCCACACTCAAGTGTCCCAATTTGGGTGATAAAGTCTGTGGGACCCTGCTTATAAGGGAACTTCCTTAAAATGGTAATTTGGGCATTTCTATAGAACTCTAGGATTTCCACCAGTGTCTCAGGCGATGCTCACAGTAACTGTTGCGGGCATATGTCACTTTTTCTGGCTCACAGATGACAAGCAGAGCTTCGGCTCCTTGTTGTCTGTTTTGCCCCTTGTCACTCAGCCGGGTCCCCTGGGAACCCCTCATGGGTAGATTCCAACCACCACATACTGAATTCTGCCCCATGTGAATTGTGCCAGTGAGGCTCTATTTAGAGTAGGCTGGTTTAAAAAATTAAATTTAAAATATATGCAGTGTTACAAAGAATATACCATAATAAAGTAGGTTGTTAATAATTGGGGAAGCTGCGTATGGAGTGTATTTTCTGTAATATCTTTGCAACTTTTCTGTAAATCTAAAACTGTTCTCAAATAGAAATTTCTTTAAAAAAAAAAAGTCTGGGAGGAAAAGTGATTTTTACCATTCTTACTTTTTGGAGGGGAAATGAAATTCAATTTGTAAAGTTAGAACAAGTTTACCAAGTTCTTTTCTGTCTCAGAGTTGTCTAACGTATGTTTCCTTAAATCACTCAATTCTTTAACATAAAACATAATCAGAATATCTATGCTAACATATATGGTATATATACACGCAATTTTAAGTTGCTAACATTTTTGTCACTGCTGTGAAAGAAAAATATTTCTAGATAATTGGCTTACCCAAAGAATATACTTCCCAAGAAAGCAATTGATACTTAAGAGATTTCCATAGTTCTTCATCAGATTTGTTCTTGCTTCTAAGGACTTAGAGTGAGTTATTTTTATATGGGGAGTGAGCAATTTGACATGGGAGAGGGTGTCACTTTATTAGCAACATTTTAAATAAGTGACAGGCTATTCTGAATAATGATAAGAAACCACATAAAAATACTGGAATGAAGAGTGTTTACGTGGATGCTCAAAGTTGGAGAAGGACTAGATACAGCCTGGAGCTGCCAGGTGGGTGAGGTGACAGTGGTTAACAGGTAGAAAAATGCACCATAAGAAATTAAAAGGTGTTAATGGGTTAACTTCTTATACCTTTCAGATAAGACATTCAGAAGAGGCTTCTACCTCCTTCTTTCCCTCCCTCCAAGAAATTCAGCAAGGCTAATGCAAACGATGAGGATGGCAGGCTCCGACAGAGCAGGGGAGCCTGCTTGGGGCAAGCTTGCTCTGGGCACTCTCATGCCATATGCTCCTGTGCTCGGACAGGCAGGGCTGGTTAGTAATAACGAGACCCAGCAGACGCTCCGCAGATGCTTCCTCACCTTTTGTTGAAAGCCTTCTTAAGACAGTTTGCAGGTTTTTGCAAGCCCCAGGACCAGGTTGCTGTGTGTGCGCTGAAAATTTGTCTAAAATTAGCCCTTCTTTGGCTGTATGGTCACCCCCAGGGCTGGGGACCCAGTGCTGGCATTTCAGTTAGCAAAGGGTGTCTGATCTCACAGTACAATTGAACACCACTCGCCTTTTCTCATGTGGGGGTGGTCCTTCGTGCACAAACCAGCCTCGCAGACCCTGTCCTGAAAACTGGCTCCAGGGCTGCCCCCGCCTCAGGTGGAGTGGCTTTCCTGGAGCCCAGCAGGGCCTCCTTGGCTCTGGATTCTGAAAGGACAATTTTCTTGTGGGTAACTGTGGCTGACATTTCAGGTGTGACTCGAGTCCTGTTGGTCAGTACTTGGAGACCTTTCTATGAAAGATGCTCAGTGAAGTCCAGACGCACAACTGGATGTCCAGTTAGAAGGGACAGTGTGTGCCCTGAGCTTATTCCTTTTCAGAGGAAGGAGTTGGATCTGAGTGTTTTCCTGATGTCTACTTGTCATCGATGAGTGGTGGTGATTTCCCATAAACCTCTCCATCAGAAAAGACACACAGTGGGTTTATTTGCAGCTTGGCTTTGTAGTATCAGCTGCCCTTTTGTCAATACAAGAGCTTTTGCCTCTGAAACCACCTGCTGATTAAAAGGCAGTTTCTCCTCTCGCCCGGGAACAAGTATCTTTGCCTGATGATCCTGGTGTGGGGACACAGTTGTGTCGAGGTGGGAGTGGGATTGGCCCCCCTTTGTGAATTCATCATGTGGCCATGTCCCATCCACCTGGGTTCCATGTTAGGTGATTTTTCAGCTCTGAAAGACACTGCTCCCCATTTCCTCCTGAAGCCCAAAGGAGGGGTGGGGAGAAGCAGCCATTCTGAGGGGCTCATTGTATATGTTCCAGAATCTCCCCTGCAGACCCCCGCCGATGATGGATCTGAGGAACCGGGCTCTGAAACCTCTGATGCTAAGAGCACGCCGACGGCGGAAGGTGGGCTCTCCTCTCATTGCTTCATTCAGATAGCAACTCCATACCTCCAGCTTGCGCTTAGCCATGCTTTGAGCCCTGCGTGCCCCCCTTCCTGGCTGCATTCACTGCCGCCTCTCCCTCTGGCTTAGAGACATGCTTGTTTGGTGCTTTGCAGGACGGGCTCTGGCCTCAGAATGTTATGGGAGCCAAGCCCTGCTTTGACGCCTTGCTCACCAGTGCCAGATTTGGGCACCTTCGTCGTGTGTGTGCTTTGAGGCAGCCACATTTGGAGAGGCTGGGATCTGTGGCAGAGTGGGGCCTGAGCACAGCCCCTCAAAGCCCTGTTCCATGTCTATTGTCCTCCCCACATTCCTTCAGAAGCCCTGATCTACCTTGCTCTTCTCTCATGAGCCACCAGGTCCCAGGACAGCCATTTGGCTGAGGAAGGGGCCAGGTCAGTGCACCTGTCCAAGCTCACACTTTGGGACTGGTCTGATTTAGTATCCGTCATTCCTTGGGCTCTAGCCTTGGTCCCATCCTCTGGACATTGGCCAGGGTATTAGCTCCAGCACATCTAACCTGTCCTCTCTAGATGTTTGGTGTCAGGTTACTATAAAGCTCCTCATGTATTCCCTGAAGAGCAGCTTGGTCCTGATTTTGACCACCTGCTCTTGCTTCCCCTCTGTGTCAGTTGAGACAGCATTTGATTTCAGATAATGGAAAACCCAACTAATTGTGGCATAGGTATGAAGAGTTTGTTTGTCTCATATAATAAGATGTTTAGAGGGCAGCAGGTTCCCAGTGTCATCAGTGCTCTTCTGTCTCTATCTTCTGCCATCCTGAGTGGTTGGATTGTTCCTTCATGGTTACAAGATGGCTGCTGCACTTCCAAGCATCACATCTGCCTTCAGAGCAGGAAGAAAGTAGCAAAGCCAAGTGGCCAAAGGGGCCTTGAAACCAAATGTGTTTCTTTTTTATTAGGAAAGCAAGAGTTTTCCTTTAAGCCCCAGCTAGCTTCCACGTACGTCTCATTGGCCAGAGCTGAGACTCCTGGCCACCCCTGGCTGTAAGGGGGAGGCTGGAATGTGGAACATTTTGCTTTTCAGACTTATTAGTTGGAGAAATCATGGGAGAGGGGCATTGAGGATGGCTTTTGAGTAACCACTCTGTGGTATCTGGCCTTCCATCTCTCCATCCATCCCCAAGGAGACTTCTCAGGACTTCTCCTGACCCTGCCTATGACTTTGGAGGCTGTCACAGGATGAGAACCTGGTCCAGCATCTCCCCAAGTGTCCACTTTTGAATGAATTCAGAAAGTGACTGAAGTGCCTGCCAATTGCTGGCTATAAGGGTGCATCTGTGGGGGAGAAAGTGGACGTGGCCCTTCCCCCGTGGTTTTCAGCCAGTGAGGAGAATACCCAGGCGGAATGCTCTTTGCTCTCCTTCTTAGAGCTGGTGATGCAAGACATTTCCCGCTGATCTTGTTAGGACAGTTTTGCAAGTTGCTACCACCCGCGAAGGTCCTCAAACCCTAACACCAGACCTCATGGCAGCCTCCCAAATCATGGTTTTCAGTCCTCCCATCAACATTACTCTGGAAGAATCTTCCAGCCAAGTCTTGCTGCACTCTGGATCCTGTACATGTGTGGGCCCCAAGAGCTTCCCCTCCCACCCCACAAGGAAGGAGACCCTGCTGGGGCTGGGCCTTCAGGCTGCTCTGCTTGCTCCCGAGACAACCGTAATTAAAATGGATTCCATTTGACTAAACTGACTCGGGCTCTTGGAAAGCTTTCAAAGCTGACAACTCCTTATGTCTGCCTGGAACAGCCTGGGAGAGTGCCAGGGCAGTGCTCGGGGAGGACTAGTGATTTGGAAATGTTCACCGTGATGAGAGGCCGCCAGCCACTCCTGATGGTGGGGTTTATCTCTGGCCTGTGCTCTGAAGGTCGGCCATCTGGAGACCTGTTGTCGGGCACCCAACTCTGGACAGGACCAGCTTGTTCACTGTCCCACGGGGGAGTCTGTGCTGCTAATCATCAATCATGGGCTCAGGGGACAGGGGGCTCCGAGCTGAGAGAGAACTTGCAGGCCACTTGGCAATGATATTCCCATTTCACAGGTGAGGAACCTGAGACCCAGAGGACACAGGTCTTGCTCAGAGCCTCACAGGGATCCTCTGATTTTCAACATTTCTTCTTTTAAAAGCACCTGGGCCCACCCCCAACAGTCCCTTTTGCTGCAGTGTTTACATGGGGGCTGTCCCCAGCAGATGGCCTGGAATCTCATGAGCCGGTGCCACCAGGCAGGATATTAATGTGCTTCCTGGGGAGACAGGCAGGCAGGAGCACAGCTCTGGGCTCTGCTTTGTGGTGTTGCTTTTTGCATGCCGCCGAGTCCCCTCCTGCCTCCCGGCCCCTGCCTGCTTCCAACACCAGAAGTAAGGTGAGGGGCTTGGCCTGGCTCATCCTAGCCCCGCTAAGGCGACTCTCGGTTTTCAGACGTGACAGCGCCCTTAGTGGATGAGGGAACCCCCGGCGAGCAGGCGGCCGCTCAGCCCCCCATGGAGATCCCAGAAGGAGCCACAGGTGAGGGTGACTCTCATGGCGGGGTGGAAGAGACCCTTGCCGGGTGCCCCGCTGCCCTGCTTGGAGAAGTGGGTGCGGATAGGGGTGATGGTCTCCCTGAGTGAGGCAGCAACATGGGTGGATGCCGGGTTCTGGGAATCTTGGGTCATTCTGAATTTGGTGCCTTGATACTCTGTTGCTTCCATGGCTGCCAGCCTCTCCGAGGACAGAGGACCTTCTATTCCCTCCAGTGCTCCTCTCCCGTCTCAGCCAGCACAGCAGCTCAGAGCTCTCTCCCGGGTCCTCTGAGGCAGGCCTGTGGAACCTTCTGCCTTCTTCACATACACAACCAGCTCAGTCCTCCACTCCTGCTGGGACTCTGCCCAGTGACAGTCACCTCCTAGTGGTGACTCCTAGTGGACACCCAAGTGTGTGGCAGATCCAGATGACTGGCCCACACCTTCGGAGGATCTTAATGGGACAGCCCCTGAGTTCAGCCTGTGATCTAGCATCCATGTCTGGGACTGTCTTTTCAAATGTATTTGCACAAAACAGGCATGACCAGACTGTCCTGTCCACACAGACTATGGGAGTAGCTCAGGCAGGGCACCGACCAGAAATAGTGGTGACCTCAGGGCTGCTGGGGGCCCTCAGAGCTGCCCATACCCTCAGGAAGTGGCTCGCTCGGCCCAGAGCGCTTGCTGTCATCCCCATCTTGTCCTCCTCTTCAGGCTCATGTAAAGATTCAGCTGTGGGCATGGTGATTTGGAGGGTGCTCAACAAGGCAGAAGAATTCTGGACCGGGTTTCACCAGCAATAGAGAGGAAGGGAAATGTCCCCACACAGGAGTCCTCTTTTCCTCCTAAAGAAGGTGCCCCCAGCAGCCATTTGGGAAACTACAGCCTTTTCTTGGGGCTCCTTTTGTTGAGAACACCCGAGCAGAGGTCCAGCAGCACCCCCAACTTGTCAAAGTAGTTTCTGCTTCCTGAGTTGGTATTTCGAAATGGGTAGAGAAGGGGGTGATCCTTCTCTACCTCTCCACCTCATCCTGGACTGTGAAGGTCGTTTGAAGGCCACGGACTGACTCATGGGGTGAGATCTTGGATAACCTGATTTTTGTCACCCCATCCTCTCCCAAAAGAGCTGAGTCAGTGAGGGGAGCCCTTCCCCTCCCAGGGTGAATGCCATAGCCCACCCTTGACTTGATCGTCACTCCGAGGTAATCAGAAGTACTGTAGTCTCCTCTGTTGCAAAACGCCATCTGCGAGTGCTGGTTAGTGTGTCCGGTTCTGTGCAGTAGCCCAAGGCCATCCAGGGTTGCAGCCCTCCCCTCAGGGGCTGGGGACGTGGAGGAGACAGGAGGCAGGAAAATTCGTCCTGGACTGGCACTGTGTGAGCCGGCTTCACGCTCTCAGCCCTGGTTAAAGTTGACTCTCTCTCGTGGGCCCCTGTTTGGTCTTCTTCCAGCCCATCCGTTCAGTTATCCACCCCACCCCCCGGGCCCCCTGCAGGTCCCTCCTCTATACTTGCTTCCGACAGACATTCCACTCCCCTCAGCCCCTTGGAATCCGAAGATCCACTTCCAGCCTTACTTCTGCTGAGGTTAGCTGGCTTCTCTTGGTGGCCTTCCAGCCATGGTCTAAGGCTCCTCTACGCTACTGCTGCCCTGGGCCTGGCTCGGGCTGTGGGAGACACACGGGCATTCTTTGCCCAAGCAACCATGTGGTCTGTAGACTGACCCCAGGGCGGCAGCCATGCCCCTTGGCTCTGCCCGTAAATGGGGTCATCTCTCCTGGTTTTTCCACTTGGGATTCTGACAGCCGTCTGCCAGGTCACTAACCACAGGGGACACATACCAAGTGTCTCTGAGTGGTACCTTGAAACCCTTCCAATGGGATTGAGATGGGAGGTAGCCATGTAGCTGTCCTCCACACTCCCAAGCCACCTTCTCTACCCTTTACATCCTCAATGAGGTAGGGAGGTTTTAGATTGGGGGGACTTTTTTCCAGTTATCGTCTTGGACAATGTGTTACCTTAGTTTAGTTTTTGCTTTGGCAGGTCACATTTGCCAACATTTCATCTTGGTGCGCCGATGAAACTTTGAGGTCCATTTGGGGGTACAGTATGGCCACCCTACTGCAGGAATCCCTGCCTTGCTGGGATGGGAGCCCCTGCCAAAGTGGTGGCCCAGCCACAGTCCCACACACTACTCACTCCCTTTGGCTTCTCTGAGCACCTCCCTTGCTGGGAACTGGTAGGGCATCAGAATTATCAGCGATCTCCAATCTGACCTGCACTAGGGCCAGGATATTGCAATCCTACACTGGCATGTGAGTGCAGTGACTTCCCAGGGCCACAGCAGTAGTGTCATCCCCACGTGTCCCCCTTGTTCTCTATCTCCAGGGTCTATGCCACTTAGCTGGACTTACTATCACTCCAAGCTTTTCTACCACAGCCTCGTCAGAAATTCAGACCAGGGGCACCCAGGTGGCTCAGCGGTTGAGTGTCTGCCTTTGGCCCAGGGCTTGATCCTGGAGTTCTGGGATCGAGTCCCATGTCAGGTTCCCTGCGAGGAACCTGCTTCTCCCTCTGCCTGTGTCTCTGCCTCTCTCTCTCTTTCTCTCTGTGTCTCTCATGAATAAACAAACAAATAAATAAATAAAATCTTTAAAAGAAAGAAAGAAAGAAATTCAGACCAAATCTGTGCTTGGAGCTGCATCTCCTGGACAGTTGGCTGTTGTAAAATGACATGGAACTGTCACCACTTGACTTCATGGGTGACACAGTATCAGCTTGTGGGGGCCCAGAGGGCTGTCATGTTTATGATCTGGCATATGGGGAGCCCAGTGCCAGCCCCCTCCACCCTTCCTGCAGCTCTTCTGGGACAGCCCACAGGCTAGGTGTTTATAAGGCTATCATGGAGCTGTCCAGTGACCCAGAGAAATCTTTCTTTCCCTTCATCATCCTCTCCATGGTAGGCCCACGCTGGTAACTTGGCATTTCTGTTTGAGGTGGAAAAACTTAAATATCGCAGGACTGGGAGAAAAGATTGGTGGCCCAGCGAGCAACTTGTAGGCCTTTCTTAGGGGTGGTGGCTTCCCTGACACCATCCTTCAGGGCAGGTTGGTTCTTCTAGGGTCATGAGGCAAATGTATGTCAAAATGTGGCCAACTTGCTTTATAAACTCTTTCTTCTGGACGATTGTATCCATTGTCCTGGATCGATGTCCTGGTTCTTCTTGAGGCAAAAACTGGCATTGCAGTAAAGCTGATTGATTTTGGTGCTGTGGAAGATGTGGTCTTCTTCATTTGGGGTGAGTTGTGGCTCCCTGAGCAGAGCCCAAGACACCCTAAAAGCTACTCACTGCCACTGTTGACCTCCCTCTAACGAGGTGGCACCTACTCTTAGCATGTGGTTAGAGGGGTTTGCGCAGTAGTCTGGAGAAAAGAAACTGAACAATTTGGGCTCCTCCCACATTCCCAGCACTTTGCTAAACACATTCACACAAATTCTTGTATTAACCCTCACTACTGTCTTATGAGGCAAGCGGTATCATCACCTTGGGAGTCTAGATGAGGAAATAGGCTGAGAGGTTAAGTAGATGGTGTTGCCTGAATGTGAGCCCAAACCTGACTCCACAGCCCACAACTACTGCTTCCTTGTACCCTCAGTACACCCAGAGCCCTGGCTGGGGTCAGGAGTGCACCTGCCACTCAGACGTGGTTCTGGTGTCAGTGGCTGAGCAGCAAGCTGCTTCTCTATCCTCACCCATCCTGTGTGTCTTTGTTGAGTGAGGCACTCGGGACCCTGGGCCCCCTGTGGAGAAGGTCTTTCCTACAGGATCTCGGTCATGTGGAAGGTGTGTGGGTGTGGTGGGGTTCACTTAGTAACCTGCTTTCGTCCACATTCCCAGCAATCAGATTTGCAAAGAGCCAGAGGTACAGCCCCATGGTACTCATAAGATGTGCCTTTCCTAAATGTTTTTGGAAAGATACCGGAAGATGCAAGAGCTTTGGTTCTGGCAAACAGTAACTGTCTGTGCTTTTATCTTCTTCATGTGCTGAAACCTAAACCAGCTGAAGAAGCAGGCATTGGAGACACCCCCAACCTGGAAGACCAAGCTGCTGGACATGTGACTCAAGGTCAGTGGGCTAGAATCACCAACCACGACTTGGGGGTTGGGAGGAGGGAGATGGCAATGCTTAGAGAAGTTCTACCTTATGAAGAGAATTTGTACCCAGGCCCTATGTCACACAGTTTCTGAGTTATTCCTAAGCCATGTGGTGGGGAGTCAAGAAAAAATGTCCAACAGAAACTCAGAGATGCACGGAATATAATTTCCTCTGCAGGCTACCCTCTGGCCTGTCCTGGGAACAGAGCCTCAACCATGTCTCCACCAAGCAATTTCTTTTCAACTTTCTTCTATACAACCTTCAGACCTTATTGCGATTTTCTTCTCAGGGACCCAAACAGCCACGTTCGAGGAAACCAACTTTCTGTAATCATTTAGTATAAATGTTTTAAGAACTTAAGCCTATAAATCCTAAAGATTCCTTGTCTCAGGGAACAGAGACCTCTGATATAAATGGAGACCTCTAAATTTTTTTTTTTTTTATTTATGATAGTCACACAGAGAGAGAGAGAGAGAGAGGCAGAGACACAGGCAGAGGGAGAAGCAGGCTCCATGCACCAGGAGCCTGATGTGCGACTCGATCCCGGGTCTCCAGGATCGGGCCCTGGGCCAAAGGCAGGCGCCAAACCGCTGCGCCACCCAGGGATCCCTAAATAGAGACCTCTAGATTCGTTTTCTATCGCTTGTGGCGTCAATGATCTTGAGAGTGTACTGTATCTAGCCCAAAGAAGTGTGTCTCTTGAGGATATTTTGAAGCTTAACTATTTACCTCTGTGAGCAGGGTCATTGCCCCATAATGGGCTAACGTTCTCAGCTCATGTGGCAAGGAGAGGTGTGTTTTCATTCTTAGGCTTACAGAGAGCTTCAAAAAATATTAGAAAGGATAATCAAGGTTAGGGGGAACCCCAGTCTGTGTGTTAAATAACTAGAACCCTGGTTCCTATTTGTTTTAGGTCACAGTTTTCAGTGTAGGTAAAATTAGAGGCTTTTATAACCTCTGGAAATGATCATTTATTTCCAGAGGAAAAAGTGGATTCCATTTTTTAAAAAAGATTTTATTTATTTATTCATGAGAGACACAGAGAGAGAGGCAGAAACATAGGCAGAGGGAGAAGCAGTCTTCTCGCAGCGAGCTGCATGTGGGACTCGATCCCTGGACCGGGATCATGCCCTGAGCTGAAGGCAGATGCTCAACCGCTGAGCCACCCAGGTGTCCCAATTCCAGTTCTTTCCTATAAATTTCTCTACAAAATTTTCCTACAAATTGCAGGCTATGTCCTTGTGCCCCTGCAACATATTCCATGCAATGAGAAGATCAGGCCAAAATGTTTTGTGGGAACTTTATTTTTGTGCCTACTGAATTTTTACATTTTTTCCATCAGTGGCCTAGAATCGTGTATAAATATGAACACCAGATAGACATTTTCAGTGGGAATCTGGCACCAAATCTGTGCAAACATGGAGGTTTCTACCTCCGCTCCCAAAGCTGACACCTCATGCCTTGATTGGACTGCTGGCCCAAATTGACAAAGGCCAGTTCCCTCCAGTGAAACGGTGTGAAGTTGGGACACATTCATGACCCATGAACACAGCTTATTTGCCAAAGGCCCATAGTCTGTTTTCAGGTTTAGAAAGAGCCAGGTAACAAAAGCCCAGTTGCCAGATCTTGTAGTTCCTGCGGCAGAAGGCAAACCTCCAGCAGCCCGTGTCTTGAGGTACCTACGATAGACAAGGATGGTTCAGGATGGCGCTGCAGTGAGCTGAGTGTAAGATGTGGGCAGGCCCAACCCATGTCCTGCTCACACCGAGTGGTAGACCTTTCCTGTGTTTCGAGGACCGGACCTCCTGAGGGTGATGTGCGGGAGGACAGTTTATCCCGAGTCCAGAGACCTCCACACTGTTTGCTCAGATCCTGTTTACCGTGGACCCTGCCTCCTGCCCCCGGATGATTGCTTTGTGTATTCCTTACTGAACATTTCATAGTATTCTAGGAACTGAATAGAATATTCTCCTGGAAAAAAAAAAAGAATATTCTCCTGGCCCATCTCCTTCCTCCAAAAGTATAATTGCATGATGTTAGTTATGTTCGGTCAAGACATAACACACACTGTACAATCAAATATTGATGACTTTTCAAGGTGTGTTTACTATGTATGTGTGGGGCCTTTGCCTCTTTTTCCACGAGGATCATTTACAGTCTTACGGTATATCAGAGGACAGTAATATCCTGACCACGAGCGATTTCTAGGAAGCTCTAGGAGGAAAGCTTTTTCCAAAAGGCAAGGAGACCCAGCCTGCAAAGGAGATGTAAAGACTAGCACCTACCATGCACTCAGACTGGTCTGTTGCGCTACTTGGTTGCTGAGATGTCATGGTATTGAGGCACCTGCTCAGATTGTCGGGTTGTTGGGCAGTTCAGGCTGTTCTTCCTGGAGACTGACCGACGGCCCCAGTGAGGTGCCCGCAGACCTTGTGGGAAGCAGCAATGAGCATATTTTCCGGACCCCAGTTCACCCATGCAGAATTCCTTTATTGATCATCGCTGCGGGGCAGGCACCGTGGTTGATGCTAGGAACATAAAATGAATGAGATCATGAGCATGAGGCCCTGGCATGAAGGTGGGGGTGGAGGTGAGCTGTGGTCGGCTTCTCAGTGGTAAGCTGATGGCAGCTACACAGACTCTACCATGTCAGGGAAGAGGGCGGTCACGTGTGAGCCATGTCCACAACCACACATCTGTGGGCACACATGCATTCATTCCCTGCCTCCCTCCTCTCAGCTCCTCCAATTCCCTGCACCTGTGGGGTTCTAGGTTTTGTTTAGAAGAGAGCTGTGGAGTTGTGTGGGTAGTTTTATCTTATTTATTTATTTGAGAGAGAGAAGAGAGAGAGAGGAAGAATGAGCACAGACGGAGAGAGAAAAGCAGACTCCCCACTGAGCACAAAGCCCCATGTGGGGCTTAATCCCAGGACCCCAAGATCCCTACTTGAGCTGAAGGCAGGTGCTTAACACACTGAGCCGCGCAGGCACCCCTGTGTAGGTTGTTCTGCTGTGACTAGACGGGAGGTTTGAAGGTTAGGAATTTAAAAAAAAAAAAAAAGGATATTTATTAGTAGTATCAAAGAGTGTGACTTTCCAGTCCTTAATACATGGTCAGATTCTTTTTTTTTTTTAAGATTTTATTTATTTATTTATTCATGAGAGACAGAGAGAGAAGCAGAGACACAGGCAGAGGGAGAAACAGGCTCCATGCAGGGAGCCCGATGTGGGACTCGATTCCAGACCCCAGGATAACGACCTGAGCCAAAGGCAGACACTCAACCACTGAGCCACCCAGGTGCCCGGTCAGGATCTTTAAGGAGGGCTCACGTGAACACCGCCCAAAGAGCCAGAAAGAGTGAGTGTGCCCTCCACCAGCTGCTAGTTGTATAACCATGAAAGCAGTGGCCTTGTTGGCTGGCAGTGTCTTTGCCATGCAGGACCCTTTACTGCCACTGTCATCTGTTTCAACTTATGCAAAAGGTCCGTCCATGATCCGTGACCCGGATAAATCTAAATCGTGCTTCTGTTTTTTTTTTAATTTTTTTAAATTTTTTTATTTATTTATGATAGTCACAGAGAGAGAGAGAGAGAGAGGCAGAGACACAGGCAGAGGGAGAAGCAGGCTCCATGCACCGGGAGCCCGACGTGGGATTCGATCCCGGGGCTCAGATCACGCCGCCCAAGCAGGCGCTAACTGCGTCCACCAGGTTCCCCGTGCTTCTGTTTATAGTAACTTTATGGCAATCTGTTAGCAAAGACTCAAGCCATAATGATGATAAATTTGGGCATTTTCCAAATCTTAAGACAGGGTTGGTTTATGGGCATCTGCTGGTTTTACTTTGCAAAAAGGGGAAACAAAGACAAAGGTAGAGAAAAGGGTGTCCTCACTGTATCAAAGCCAGATCCTATCTAGAGGCCAGACTCTTCAGGAAGCTCAGTGTCGCTGGAGAGAAGGAGAAGCATCTGTAGCCTAATGGATTCGGAACAAGGCAGCCCCACAGCGGGGCTGGCAGCCCTGGATGTGCTGACATGCTCTGAGCCCACCCAGAGCCCACAACAGGCAGAGGAATAACCCTGGCGTTAAATGGGGCCTTGGAGGTCACCAGGTCTGAGCACCCCTTTAACAGATGAGAAAAGTGAGGCCCAGAGAGGGGAGGTGCCCATCAGCATCACCCAGTGAGTCGTGTTAGACAGACCAACAGCACTTTCATCATGAGCAAAGGAAAGCAACAAGGATGAGCCCAGAGCACACGCTCCGTTTTGTTAGTTGGGCTTACGATGCTGTTTAAATGTGCTTTTCTTAATTCAAGAGTGCGCTCTCTCTCTTAAACAATTGATGCGTCCTTGCCAACCTTTTGCTACCGATGCCTCTTCAAACCCAGAGGAGTTGAGAGTTCCAGGCCAGCAGAGGGAGGTACCTGAGAGGCCCTTGGCCAATGGGCTTAGCTCTCAGGATCAGCCTGAACACGGCAGAGAAACTTCTGGGGTCTCCCTGCTGCCTCTAGAGGAGAAACGGCCAGAGGCCCCCGTGCTGGTGCTCTCCTGCCAGTCCCAGCATCATCCCATCTGCCAACCGCCTGCTCCGACAGGAGGCCCTCGGGACTCCCACCAGGAGTGGGGACTGAAGCCAGGGGATGGGATCACGGGGGGTCTGGCCTTTCCGAAGCCCACCTCCCCTGGATGTCTCCAGACAGAGTCTGGGAGTGACAAGGCTGTCCAGGAGAGCCTCCTTGGGGAGCCAGGGCGCCGTAGAGGTGAGGCTGACGACCCGGGCACCCCAGGTCAACCCCACCAGCATGTGTCCTACGGCCCCAGGGAGGCCACACAGCAGCCTTCGGGGACGGAACCTGAGGACACAGAGGGAAGTCGCCACGGCTTGGAGCTGCTGGAGCACCAGCTTCTGGGGGACCTGTGCCAGGAGGGGCCGCCTCTGAAGGGGGACCATGACAAAGAGAGGCGGGGGGGCAAGGATTTTGATGAAGACCGCGATGTGGATGAGTCCTCGCCCCAGGACTCCCCTCCCTCCCAGGTCTCCCCGGGTCCGCAGAGCTCCCCAATCCGAGGCGGGCCACCCCCCGACACCGTTTCCAGAGGAGCCCCTGGCTTCCCCGGTTTTTCAGCTGAGGGTGCCATCCGCCTCCCTGTCGATTTCCTCTCCAACGTCTCCACAGAGATCGAGGCGTCAGAGCCCCCCGGGCCCCGCGCAGGGCCCACGGTGGAAGGGCAGGCCACGCCCCCCGAGTTCACCTTCCACGTGGAGATAAAAGCCAACGTGCAGAAGGAGCAGGGACACTCAGAGGTGGATTTGGAAGGGGCTGCCCTTCCAGGGCCCCCCGGAGAGGAGCGAGAGCCCCGGGGCCCTTCTGAGGGAGAGGACACAAAAAAGACTGACCTTCCAGAACCATCTGAAAAGCAGCCCACAGCTGTTCTGCCAGAGAAGCCCGTCAGCCGGGTCCCTCAACTCAAAGGTCTGTGTCTTGAGCTCCTTCGCTCCTTCCCGGTGACCTCGTGTGCCACCCAGGCTGCGGGCACTGCCACTGAGCTTCCGGCTCCCTCCTTGGCTCCTGCTGCTCCCGAGGTCCTAGGGCTAGCCACTAAACCACCCACCTGGGCACTGCCGCTCACCCTCCTGCAGCCTCCTCCTCCCCTCGGCTCCGGCACGTGCTCCTCTCACGCTTGGCCGCCACTCTGCATGTCACCAACACCCCGCCCAGTGCTTTCCACCCTGTTCATTTCTCCAGCCACTCGAGTCATCCACAATAGTCCATCAGCCCATGGGTGGTTAGTTGGTGGCCCGCCCTCCACAGAGCGGGTAACAGCTGGTCCGCTTTTGAGGGCTTATCATGTGCCCTAAATTCATTGTCTCAAACCCTCCTGACCCTTCCAAGAGGACATAATTAGCCCCACTTTACCAACAAGGAAACAGTCACAGAGAGATAAAGTAAATTGCTGAAGGTCACCTGGGTCTGCACTGAAAGTCATACTCTTCCCTGTTCAGCATAGTGAACAGGGTTCTGGAAGGTTCTGAAGTGGGCCCTACTTAAGAGCCCAGAGACGCAGAGGGCAGGAGCCTGTCTTCTGCTGCTCTTGTCAGTGGACAATACATCCCACATAGCGGGTGATTCACACACACACACACACACACACACACACACACAAGCACTTGGGGTAGCCAAGAGCCCATGCTGAGCCTTCGGCCCAATGGTTCCCACCCCTATCTGCCCTACCTTGTGGCAGGAGAGACAATGAGCAAAAAACGTTCCCGTCTGAATCTTCTCTTCCTCCCTTGGGGGGGAGCCCAGGAACCCCTGTGCTGGGGCCTCAGCCCCAGCCTGCTCAATCACAGCAGCCCTGTGGGAGCTGGAAAAATGGTAGGGGAGGTTCTCCTGTGTTGGGGGTCTCTGTCAGGGAGATGAGGAGGCCTCAAGGGTACATTCGTACATTGAAGACCTTTAGCATTTTGGGATTATTCACAGGGTCCAGAAATCGATGCCACTTGAGCTGCCAATTGCAAACATCTGTTAAATTTGTATTAGATGCTACTTGTCAAGTACTTTGAACCTTGAAATGTTGTAGATAGAACTTTGAAATGTTGTAGATAGCGGAACTTGTATTAAAATTTAAGACCAAAAAAAAAAAAACATATCCTATTTTAAAATATCCTAAATTCCAAATAGTAGGGGACAAATAACTATGATTTGACAGATTAAAACAGTGTTTCCTGAAATAGTGTTTTATTGAGTATTTGCTATTGATGTTTCCAGGGGGGAAAGGAGTTCCGTGGTCTAAGTTTGGAAAAACAGGCAAAGTTAAGCAAGTTTTGCTGCAGCAGGACTTGTCAGAGCCTTTAACATTCTAATGCACATTATGACCCTCTCAGAAAGACACAGAGTACAGATTCCCCAAATTTATTTGATCCAACCTGCTAACATCTCCTGGAGGAGGACTTGTTCAATAGTACCCAATTTGGCTAATGTGGATTTGGCAGAGGCTTTAAGTTGTGATGAGGGTGGTGATGGTTGATTTGGGCAGAAGATGTAAAGCAGGACCGCCTGGGGCTCTTACTAAAATGAATATTCATTTTACAGCCTCACCTTAAGCTTACAGAGCCTCAGGTGGGTCCAGGAATCTGTATTTTATCAACTTGTCCCAGTGGTTCTGCTGTGCAGTGATGTGTGACAATGTCTGAGCTAGATCATCAGTCTAGGTCGTTCTAGAAATCCAGTCTCCGTTAGCCAGCGTGAAGCTCCAGCAGGCCGCAGGACCTTTCGGCAGGGGGAATATGATTTTAAAACCAAGAACGAAAATCTATCATGAATTTTCAACAACGAATGTCAACAGAAGGGAAGGATGAATTAGGATGCTGGTAGACATGTGGTTTCACCAGGGCGTGCGGCTTTCTACACACAAGAGCTGCCAGTGGTTTGGTTCTAAACTCCAAGAGATTATCTGTAAAATGTTTGACGGTAACTGGTTTGTCGCTAATTTGGGAAAATGGCAAGGATTAATCCCCTTGAGGGGGCCTGTAGGCAGTGAGAAGACCCTTCCTCGCTGGGTCAGGGGTGGACCAGGCTTGTCAGAGGGTGGGGCAGCTGGGGCTGGACACCGTAGCTCCCAACAGTGAGGGGAAGGGACCTCACTAGCCCTGACCCTTGGGTGACAGCCTGAGTAGGGGGTTGGAGCGTAGCTGAGCAGCCCCTCCTCCAGGGAAGGAGCCTATGAGAGGTGGGGCCTTCACTGTCTACCTTCCCTGAGGGCCTCTGTGCCCACATGTGCCTGGAAGAGTCTTCACTGTGCCCCTTCTGCATGTTCCCACCCTCGGCCAGCCTGCTCTCCCCTCTTGTCAGGGTGCTCCAAGCAGTGACCCCACTGTGCTGTGTTGATACTAACAACAAGAGACAGATTCAAGGGGAAAGAAAATCCACTGGGTTTCCACCAAGCCCGGCTGAACAAAACCCATTGTACTGATCCCGAGAAATCAGAGTAACTATATCCAGCTCTTTCCATAAGCTCTGCAAATGGGTATAACATGTGTTTTCATTTTATATCTTATCAGCTCGCATGGTCAGTAAAGGCAAAGATGGGACTGGAACCGATGACAAAAAAGCCAAGGTAAGCTGACGAAAACACAAACCTCTGCCGACGTCAGATTTATCAAGAGGCTGTGCTTATCTGAATTTTTATTTGTAACATGTGGGGAGCATCTGTCACTGAAGGATGACTGTCATTTTAAAAAAAATGCATTGTATCTTCATGCAAACTTTTAAAATTCCAGCATTTGCTCACCTTGATGCTTATGCCAGAGAAGAGCAGTCAGCAGGTTAAGGAAGTAATGCTCCTAAATGCAATTCCACTAGCATAGCTGAAATGAGATGTTCATAGTAAACAAAGATACATTTGGATTTTCTGCAATAAAGTTTGAATTTTGCACACCTTACACTTTCCACTGCAGATCCAGGCTGCGTATATGTACACACACATATGGAAAGTGCATAGAAAATACCATTTATTCAGGTAGCTGAGGAAGCATTGATCAAGAAAGTGACCTCTAACCTAAGGTGGAGGGTTCTGGAAAAGCCCTAGAAGAGAGGACCTATGGGGCAGCCTGGGAAGGAAATATAAAGGAGGGTTGCTGAGGCAGGGGTGGGAACAGCGTTCTGAGGAATAGGAACAGCACAGCAAAGCCCAGAAGCATGAAGAGGTGATATGTGTTCTGAGAACTCTAGGCAGGTGGCTTGGTTGCTGCAGAGCTCCAAGTGGAGCTGCCGTCCGGTGGGAAGGATGCGGGGTGGGAAAGCTGATACACGCCCGGACTGCTAAGTGGACAAGCGGGCAGCAATGCACTTGACACCATCTTGAAATCTGGCCAAGGCACCAGTATGATGCAAGCTTTAGTCAGACTTCAAAAACCAACCTGAGGACCAGTGGATGAAGCCCCTGCTCCCACAAAAAGCACATCCAGAACCAATGTTTCCTGTCAGCAATAGTTTCCTCCTTTAATGACTTTGCATCCTGGAAAATTCTCCCATAAGTACACGGTAGAGTTTCCCCAGGAGCACCCTACTGTGACCCCCCAGATGAAGACCTATTTTTCGTAAAGGCATCTCAAATTTCCAATATGAATTCTGCCTAAAACATCTGGGTCCTAAGCCCTGGGTCCAGAGCCCTGATGGGCTCCTCCGATGCGGAGTGTGGCTCTAGGAGTCGGGTAGCACGTGTTGTGCCCCCCCCTCTAAAAAGTCAGGGTTTGCCATCGCAAGACCTGGTGAGGCAGCTGAGGGTCCCGCAGGGACTTGGGGTCTTCTGCCCTAGAGGCGTGAAGCCGTAGCAAGGGCTGCTAGCCAGTCATGATATGCATCCGAGGAATCCCAGCCCCATGCATGCATGCATGCATTCCATTCATTCATTCATTTGCACACGTGGGTACAATGTCCCTGCCCTGGACAAAGGGTCAGATCTTTCCCAAACCTGAGCCAGGTGGGGAGTGCTGCCAGCAGAAGGGGGCCCTTGTGCACCCAGGGAAAGAGGAGTCCCCACCCCCAACTTTTCTTGTCCCCAGTTGCAGGACATCAGCCTGCGTCCCTCCCCCACACCCTTCCCCACCCCGTGGCCCTCCTCCTTCCATGTTGGTCGCACAGAGGGCCTGGGCCATTTTGGTGGGGGATCCAAGGGCAACGAGTAAACAAACCCAAGAAGCCTGATGAAGCCTGTGGTCAGACTGCTTGCTTGGTAGCTCTGATTCCCTCTTTGAAATACCTCTGGACTCGGCCACTCGGTTTGGTGGCTGAAGGTACAACCCTTCCTCCGCCCGGCTTTCCTCCTCCGCCAGGACCATGCTTCCCTGTCAGAGTCCCCCAGAGCCAGTTAGGACAAACCATGGGTGCCAGCCTTTGTCCATTGGCTTCCCTGTCCACAAAGGGACAGCTCCGTCTGTGAGGTCATCCAGCACTACCACCTCTTGTTGGGTTAGCCACCCTCCTCCAGGCTATTTCCTAAAGTAGAATGTGTTCAAGAGTGAACGTTGGCCAGATTAGGATTTACCAGAGAAGGTTATGGTTAGTTTTGCTTGAGGCTTTAATCAGTAAGTGTGTGTGTGTATGTGTGTGTATGTGTGCACATGTAACCTAAGGTATAAGGCAGGATCTTTAAGACGTGGGATAGGCACCATCCTGTTTTAGCAAGTATGATACTCTCAGTGTGGCAGAAGGCCAAGGGTTAGCAGGACAGCAGGAGCTCCTCACCTGGAATTTAGCAAAAAGCGGGGCCCTTCTGACCCATGACACATTGGGGATGTTTTCTTGAAAAACATCCTACGAATCATATGCTTTGGCGATCTTCATTAACTCTTTGGGCGTGAAACACCTTTAAACCAGTGGTCTCCAAAGTGGTGGGGTGCAGCACAAGAAGATCCAGTGAGTTAAAGAACATTCTAAAACTTCTATCCATTTTTTTCTCCTGTCTTTTAAAAGTTCTGTCCTCTGTAGGTTTTATAATGTACATCATATGTTGGCATTGTAGTATATGTACTTAGCTGATAAATAACCACAGGGGCATTAGGATGTGTAGCCACTTCCGGACCTCAGGGATAAGAAGGATGGATAAGGGTACGTGATGCAGACAGTTTGGAGATCACTGCTTTAAGCTGTTACCTGCCTTGTTTATTTTTAGTTACTATCCTTTTTCAGTTTGTTTCCTTCCCCCATGTGCTGACTTTTATTTTGATTTTATTTATGTTTATGTTTAAGACATCCACACCTTCCTCTGCTAAAACCCTGAAAAATAGGCCTTGCCTTAGCCCCACACGCCCCACTCCTGGTAGCTCAGACCCTTTGATCAAACCCTCCAGCCCCGCCGTGTGCCCAGAGTCATCTTCCTCTCCTAAACACGTCTCTTCTGTCACACCCCGAACTGGCAGTTCTGGAGCAAAGGAGATGAAAGCCAAGGTAAGGAAACCACCTTTGAAAAGAATCAGGCTGCTCGAGTACGGTTTTCAGATGTATGTTGTTTTGAGCCACAGAGACTTTCCTTCAGATAAGCTATTACCTAGAAGCACCACGTAGAACAAGGACAGTTCTGGTTGACATGGGAAATGGGGGGCATGGCACTATTTTGCTCAGCTCCCTCATGGCAGCCCCCACAGCACCCGAGGGGGCCCTGGTTTGAAAATCACCAGCTAACCGGGTGTCTTTGGTAACTGGGAGTGCTTCCAGATGGCCCCGATGGGGGCTGAAGCAGCACCAAGTGGCAGTGCCTGTCCCACAAGGGCACTCCCCCCTGAACCATCTTGTGATTCCTGGTGATTGTCAGTTTCTTTTCTGAGTTTGTGTTATGTGTCAAGGTCACACCCGGTACCTGAGCCCTGTCAGCGGACTGCTTGGGCACCAGCGGCTCGCAGCCTTTGGCCCGTTTGCTGATTGGTGCTGGCCAGGGGCTCTTAGCATGCTCAGGAGTCACTAAAACCTAAGGGTTGTTTGGGAGAGAACAAAAGAATGACCCAGCTCTGCCAGCACTCGCGATCAGATTCATCGGTGTCTTCCGCGGGCCTCTGGTGAAACCACCCCCCATCAGTGTGATAAGCCCTACGGAGCAGTCGGAAAAGGTCCTGCCCCTTGAGCGCCCTGGGCCGATAATGAGCCCGATCATCACCAAAAGCTCTGTTAGCTTTTTATGAAACACAATAGCACAACTCATGGTGAGAACTCAAGTGAGCAGCTCCTCTCGGAACACACGGTAGTCAGGGCGCTTGGTGTTTGGGTGGAGCCATGGGTTTGTGTGTCCCTTGAACCCTTGACGTCTTGGAAGACATTTGTTGCATCTAGTAATAGGCAAAGGGTCACTCCCATCTTAGCCTCGTTTTGAGTCAAGGAGGTTGAGTGGGGCTGGCATTGATTCTAGGTGATAGTAACCTTTCCCAGTCGTAAAAACCACTGTACCGTGCTTCGGTTGACAGGGGGCGGACGGTAAAACTGGAACGAAGATCGCCACACCCCGGGGAGCGACCCCTTCAGGCCAGAAAGGCCAGACCAATGCCACCAGGATTCCAGCGAAAACCACGCCCTCCCCCAAGACCCCACCGGGCGGTAAGAGGAATGTTCTCTGGAATCCAGGGCTGGGGGGAATCTCTTACTAGGTACCATCCTCCTCTTTGAAGACCCCTGGCAATTAATCACTTCCAGTAGCTGACTAAGCACCAGAATGCTCGTTTTCTTCTTAATCCTTTTGCCAGTCTTACCAGGTAGAGATCGAATCTCCACTTTTGAGCAATGACGAAAGGCCCTAAGCATTTGCACGAATAAGTCTAAGCAGCTCACTTCAAGCATGAAGAGAATGCAGCCGCGTGACTAATGAGTGGCGGGACAGGGGGATGCTCTGAGTTTCTCAGACCCCAAGGCCTTGGGCCTTGGGAGGTGTTTTTCAGTCCCCAAGTGAGATGCGTGGTGGCTCTGTGTCTCTGGAAACAGCGGGACTTGCTGGAGTGAGCACTTTGGCAGGACCTGAGCATCTCGGCTGAGCACCTGCATGCGGTGCCTTTTTTCCTGCACTCCTTTGAATAAAACCCAGGTGGTTTTGAGTATCAGGCAAGCTGTCATGGAGTGATTCTGCTCCCAGTGGGGCTGTAAAGAGTAGAGGCCCTCTTTGGGGATGGGAGACAGGCTGAGCTCCTCCCTCCCAGTGCCCCAGAGGGCCATGTCCCAGGCAAGGGGGTTTGGATTCTGCACAACGCAGGGGGCATCTGGCCCTCCTTGGCTTTGGGGGTGGTGTTCAGGCACCTGAGGATCTTGTACAGGCCTTGAGAGCCCTGGACCGGTTCAGTGGTATCTCTGCTGTGCGCTGGCCCTAGAGCAGCAGCTCACAGCCCTTTGTCTGCATGTTTTGCGGTGGTGTTTGCCTCCTTTGCCCTGGGGTGGTGGCTGCAAGGATGGCTGCTCATGATTGGCCACTGGATGGTTTCTTCCTGTATATAATTCCTATGATACAACGGTAATTCACAGAATTGTGATTGGATTTTATAAATGATTTTGATCCTGCTTTTCCTCACGTGGCGCTAAGCCAGTTGGCTCACACAACTGGAGTCATAACTGGGAAAAGCATGTGCACTTCTTTTTGGATCTTACCTGTGTTTGGGTGGACAGATCTCTGTGGGCCACCTTGCCCTGTTTCCCGCCAGCCAGGGCACCTGCTCTCTGAACACCTTCCCCGCCTGGCTCACCTCTGCCGTCTGGCCTGGCCGGTGCCTGCAGCATGCAGAAGAGCTCACCGAGGCCCTGTTTAAGCTTGATTATAATGAGACTTTCTGTGGATTTTTCTTTTTAAGCCACCAAGCAATTGCAGAGAAAACCACCCCCTGCGGGGGCAAAATCCGAGCGAGGTAATTCTGGGGCTGCTTTGCCCAATGGGGCACTCACTGATCGCGTGTGGCTGTGTGTGGCTCAGGTTTGGAGAGCAGAGAGGACCTGTGCTGAAGCGTGGGTTTCACACATTGAAACTGAACCCAGAACCGTCGGAATCCTGCCCCTCCTCTTGTGTGTGGCTTACGCGGATGCCGTCTGTCTGATGGACCTTTCTGTCCCTGTGCCAAGGCTCTGGGGGGGGGCGGGCAGGAAGCATGTCTCCAGCTGTTTGTGGGTGCTGGAGGCTTGGACCCAGGTGTGGGTGGGAAATTCCTGCTGGCATTTATTTATTTTTAAAAAATACTTTATTTATTTATTTGAGAGAGAGCGCGCACAGAGAGAGGGAGAAGCAGACTCCCTGCCGAGCAGAGAGCCCGATGTGGTGCTCCATCACAGGACCCCAAGATCATGACCCGAGCTGAAGGCAGACACTCAACCAACTGAGCCACCCAGGCACCCCTTTGCTGGCATTTATTTAACACACACCCTGTGAGCACTCCCTACTTTGCACTGGACACTTTCACTGATACCACATCCAGCCTGCAAATTGGCGCTGCAGGCTGTGGCCACGCTCCCCATTTTCCAGATGAGGACACGGGCTTAGGAGGTTGTGTGACTTGCCTAAAGTCAATCTGCAGTTTAGTGGCACATAAAGGATTTGTAGCCGCCCTAAGTCTAGCGGTCAGCCTGTGTGCCTGGAAGCAGGAGCAGAGGTCAGGGGTGCTGAGCCTGGAGCAGAGGCCCTGTCTGTTGTTTCCCTATGTGGAAAAGGAGAAAAAGCTTCGTTAGTCCTGTTGCCAGGACTTGAGCTTGACGACATTAGGAATGTCCAACAGACATGGAAATTCAAGCTCTGCAAGTGACAGTGCTTACTCTCCTCTTGATGAGAGAAGTTGCCTTTTTGTTGCTGCTCAGCGCTTCCAACCAGGGGCCACCCTTCTCCAGGTTGGGGTCTGCAGGTCCCTGTTTGGTTCCTGGAGCAGAGCCCGGGGTGTCCAGGAAGCTTGGAGGCGGCAGTAGAGCTCAGAGCGGAGGAGAACCAGGCCCTCCCATGGGCGCAGCATCCAGTCCCTTGGCTCTGAGACTCAAGGATGCTCAAGAATTCCCAGGGAACTTGAGAGGAGCCAGTAGTGGGGGCCCCAGCCCACACCAGGAATGGGCCCAGGAATCTGCATCTTCCTGGTCCCGGTCCTGACCTGAGCCTATGGAGATTCTGACACAGGGGTCCCTGGGCCACATCTGGAGAAATGCTGCTTCATGGGGTACATGGAATAGTAACTGTAGGGTGTATGGGGCCCTGGGAAGTGCAGGATGGAAGCCTGAGAAGGAGCCCAGGACTGAGTCTGTTGGGGAAAGAGCAGCCCCAGCCGCCTTCCTGGAATTTTTGAAAGGTACAGGTTCCACCATGCATCAGTGTAGGGGGAAGGGAGTTCTCAGAGAGGGCAGGGCAGGGCAGGGCGGCCCGAGGTGGCATGGCTTGTCTGGAAAGCTCAGGACAGGTGGACTCGGACGGATCAGGCCTGCCGTCCTGGAGCACACATACCACAGAGGGGCCGGGAAGGGGGTGCAGGGGGCTGCTGGGAAAGGAGCCTTGAACATGCTGAGTGGCTTAGAATTCACCCAGGGGGTAAAGGGTCTAATAGATCCAACACAGGTGGCCCCTGGTCCTGTCACCATGTCACCTTTATTCAGGGAAAAGCCACACAGACTTGCACTTGAGTTTTCCAAAGCACATCTACGCGCATCCGTGCCTGGCCTCCCTCCCTGCAGGCACTGTGATCATTTCCAGGTTCCAGCTGAGACCCGTAAGCTCAGAGAGGGAAAGTGACTCATCTGAGACCACATGGCTCATTGGACTCTGTGTCCTGACCCCAGGGCCATAGGGTAGAGTCGGTCCCCTCGGGAAAGGGTCTTTGGTGACCACTCTGTTGCTTCCCTGGGAAACGGAGTCTCTGTCCCTACACAACAAGGCCTGAAGAAGAGACATTTCTCTAGAAATGAGACCAAGGGCAGCCTCCTGCTGGCTTAGCTGAGCTTCCTGACCTTGTTCCCACCTGCCTCACCAGCCCTGAGTCTGGGACAGGGCCCTCAGGACGGGCAGCAGCCCCTGAGGCCTTTTCTAGCTCCCACCCACCCCAAGCACCGGCCTCACTGCCTCCTCTCTCTCCAGGTGAATCTGGAAAATCTGGGGATCGCAGTGGCTACAGCAGCCCCGGCTCCCCGGGCACTCCTGGCAGCCGCTCCCGCACCCCGTCCCTGCCAACCCCACCCACCCGGGAGCCCAAGAAGGTGGCGGTGGTCCGCACCCCACCCAAGTCACCATCTGCAGCCAAGAGTCGCCTGCAGACCGCCCCTGTGCCCATGCCAGACCTAAAGAACGTCAGATCCAAGATCGGCTCCACTGAAAACCTGAAGCACCAGCCAGGAGGTGGGAAGGTAAGGGCACACGCAGGGGCTGGCTGGGAGCGTGCTGGCCCCAGGACCCTGGGAGGAGAGGTGTGGGTCCCCCCACACCTGGGGCAGCACACAGCACCTGGGTCCCTCCTGGATCTCTTCAAGGAAAGACGGTATGGTTCAGTTCTGTCTTGGGGTCACCACCACGCCGTGAGCGCCCTGCTCAAGGGAGAGAAAGCACTGGTTCTTTCCTTCCCTGTTTGAGTCTCTGCTGACCAGACAGTATCTGAGATTATGAGGTTGGTTGTTTCTCCATGACTTGAGGAGTTCTCAAAGTGGAGGCACCCACAGAGGTTCCCCAACCTGTCTTGCATTTAGAACGTGACACGACCCATCTATAGGTGAGTGTCTCTGGCGTTCATTGGACATTTTTTCAGGTTTCTCTCCAAGCCTTGGTTCTGGGGGAATTTGGGGGTGCTATTTTGAACAACTGTTCTTCAGGGCAAGTGAGTGCTCCGGAAACTGTTGGGTTTCCTAAAGGTGGAGAAACGTGAACTTGCAAAGGCCTAAGGTCACGGGAGATGGGGACCAACCTGGACCTCTTCCTCCTCTTCCTGTCTCCTGTCACCCTTTGTACGAGTTTCCTGAGGCTGACATACAAAAGACCACAGACCGGGCAGCTTATATAACAGAAATGTATATCCTCACTGTTTTGGAGGCCAGAAGTCCAAGATCGAGGTATTGGCAGGACTGGTTTTATGGAGGTCTCTTTGCTTGGCTTGTGGATCGCAGCCTTCTTGTGTCCTCACGTGGTCTTTTCTCTGGGTGCCTCTCTGTCCCAGTCTCTCCTTCCTGTCATATTGGATTGTGGCCCACTTCTTTAAAGACTTGTCTTCAAATATGGTCCCATTCTGAGACAATGGGAGTTAAAACATCAGCATGTGAATTTGGGGGGACCATAGTTCAGCCGCTAACAGCCTGCCCCACGTATCACAAGCTGTGGGGGGGTAGAGAAGGGAGAAGGGTGGAAGCTGTGGAGTAGAGAGGATCAAGACTCTGCTCTTAGGAGTACAGATGTGTTGGGACTCCTGGGCTTGGGCCTTTTGGGGGGCAGTGAGCCTCCTGCTGTGCTGGGGGTACATTACAGAACCCAGAGCCAACATTTCCCTTTAATCAGTTGGAACCACTTGTCTCCCCCACAGTGGGGGCCCTTGTTACTCTTGATGTTACTCTTGGCTGGGGCCTGGGTTCCCACGAAGGGAGGGTGTCTCAGGGCTTTCTGTCCATGTTGGTGCCTTAACTGAAGCCCTGTGCTTTGCTCCCCATGGAGCCTCAGAGCCTCCCCCTGGCCTTTCTCATCCTTGGGGCCCAAAGACTCCTGCCCATTTGGGAGGTCTGGGTGTGTCCCAGGGTAGATCCCTGGGGCTCATGGCCACTGGTCTTTGGTCCACAGGGTTGGCTCTGGGCCTGTGTTTACTTTTCTGTGGTGTTTGCCTTGGCTGCTCCTTGGAAAGATGCCTGTCTCATTCCAGAAGGGGCAGCTCTGGGGCAGTTGGGATGTTGGCTTGAAATCGACCCCTCTGTGAGGCTTTGAGGGCCAAGGGATCTGCAGAGAGGTTGTTGCCAAGGTGGTGGGATGTTCCCACCGGCGTTCAGCACTGAGTGTTCCCAGTGGGCCCAATTTTCATAGCATAGAGGGACCATTTGCCCCTCGTTTTGAAAAAGGAAAAACAAAACCCCACACAGCCAGCTCTGCACCGACAAGAAGATTGTGTGGCTGTGACCAGTGTCTCATGACAACTCATTACTGTGAGAGGGAAACTCATCATCAGTATCCCCCTACCTGTGGGCTGTCACACACCAGCAAACGCCCACCTCTTCCTACCAGCCAGGCTGCACCCCCATCAGCCATGCTGCACCCCTGCCAGCCCAGGCTGCACCCCCATGAGCCCTGAGTTCCCCTGTGGTTGACTTGGAAAGTGTGGGCACCCCTGGCCCAGGTCCAGCGGTTCTGCAGAGAACCCAGTGCCAGGGCTAAGCATTTCCCACTGAGGACTCTTCCGGGACCAGAATCCGCCCCCCACACCCAGGGCTGCCCTGTCTGTGGGGGAAGAGGAGTGTGGTGGATGGGGACCAGTGATCTGATGCTCAGAAAGGAAAGGGGGAAGGCGCCTCACCCCCATTTCCACCTCACCATGCTGGGTGCACACATATGTCCACATTTGCTGAAGGGTTAAAAAAGAGAGGGCAACTTTTTCAGGACTCTTTGGAGGAAGACACAGGGAAGTGGCAAAAGGAAGAGGAGGAGCTTTCCTTAAGTCCCATGGAAAACGGAGAAAATTGTCTGAAACAAAGAAAATCTCAGCCTACCAGAGATACACTAAATCTCTTTGGAAAATGAAGAGAAAAGAAACAGAGGGACGCCTGGATGGCTCAGCGGGTTGAGCGTCTGCCTTCGGCTCGGGCCCTGATCCTGGGATTCTGGATCGAGTCCCGCATCAGGTTCCTTGCAGGGAGCCTGTTTCTGTCTCTGCCTGTCTCTCTCTCTCTCTGTGTCTCTCATGAATAAATAAAAAAATCTTAAAAAAAAAAGAAAGAAAGAAAGAAAGAAAAGACACAGAAAAGAAGCAGCACATGGGATCCATGGAAAAATGCCTTTAAAGTGCCAGGACTAAGGTCTCCTGAGGTCTCCTCGAGATCCTGGGGGCCCTGTGCCCTCCGCTAGGGTCCGGCCTACAGTAAGCGCTCAGTTGGTGCTTATTTCGGCTGCGGAAGGAACAGCGCTGTGAGTCTGAAGAATAAGGCGACTTATTCCCCTGAATAGCCGGTCATACTGAAGAAGGAGGAACAAGAGGGTCCAGTTTGTAAACCTGCAGGGACCGAAAACCTCCGAGGATCAATGTAAATCAGTGGTTGGAAAAAAACGTAAAAGATCTGTGTTCTGTTGCTCTGTCCTTTGCTCTAGTTTCATGATTTGCTACTATGAGCAGGGGTTGCTTGAAGAGTCCAGAACAAAATTGTTCTTAAAGGAAAATGCTGGTAGTCACTGGGCCACTTTAACAGAACCAGCTGAATCCACCAAACGTTGCGGGGAGAAGGGAAGGAAGGCCAGCACCGCAGACCAGGCATGCCTGTGCCCCCCACCTCCCTGCCGCAGCAGCTCTCCTACCTGACTGCAAGACAATCACCTGGGGCTGGGATTCTTTTCAAAATCCTAGTGCCAGAGCCCTCCCCAGGCTCATTAGAATCTCCCGGGGAGCCTTCCCAGCTGTTCCCAACGTGCAGTCCCGGCTGAGACCCAGCATCCCCAGATTCTCACTTGCTGCCTCTGGCTTCGACTCTCTCCTAGGGTCTCCTGTGCACCCTGGATCTGATGACTGATTTTCCTCTTTCAGTCCTAACCCTGTCCATTCTCAGACGCCAAGTACCTGCCTCCTCCATCAGCTCATTCCCAGCCCAGGCCACCCCCTGTGTCCTGCAGCCCTGCCCTGACTTTCTCCCAGCCCTATCCTTGGGTGGGGAGGTGTTCAGACACAGAAACAAAGAACCAGCATTCCAAACACATTAAAAAAATAATAGTAAACTACCCACTGCAGGTGTAAGTGATGTGAAGTTGACATCCTTTCATCCTGAAGAGGGCACATCAGTACAGTACAGTCCTTTTGTACCTAAAGAAGGATTGTCCGTGGTTTTCACAACTTCATTCTGCTAAACCAGTGATCTGTCAAAGGGTCTCCTTCCTCTGGATTCAGCTGAAGGTCATCTTGAGATCTTTGGGTCCCCGTAGCCTCACACAGAGCAAGAGAAGTGCTTTGTACTCTAAAATCGAAGAAAGGAAGAAACCCAAAACTCAGAAAAAGCTTTAAGCACAAAAGTGTGCATTGAGTTTTATTTATAACTGCAAAACAAAACAGTTTAAATGCCTAACAATAGAGAGGTAATTAATGGTGGTGCCATACTATAAAATGTTACGTAGCCCATGAAAAACACCTTGAAAAATTTTTTGTAAATATAAACATTTGTAAATGTTATACTATGAAGTCAAAATTAATAGTGTAGAAATATTCAGGTTTTGCCTACTACTGATATAAAAAGTTCACAGAGAAAATGAAACTATGACAAATGCCAGTGGTGGCTCATAGAGGTTGCATGTTTTTCCCTTTCCTCCCAAATTTTCTACAGGGAAAACATTTCTAATCAGAAAAACATGGATAGGAATACATTGTAACTGGAAGTGTAACAGTAGATGACAGTAAAGCAAAAAATAGAAGGGCATAAGAAGTCCATGTGATTGAGAAGGGAAATTTTAATTTTTTTAATTTTTTAATTTTTTTAATTTTTTAAAAAAGATTATTTATTTGAGAGAGAGAGAGAGGGAGAGGAGAGAAAATGTGAAACAGAGGGAGGGGCAGAGAGAGAAGCAAGCTGCTTGCTAAGCAGGGAGCCCAATGCAGGACTCTTGATGCAGGGATAGATCTCAGACCCCATAACCCTGAGATCATGACCTGAGCCGAAACCAAGAGTCGGATGCTTAACCTACTGAACTACCCAAGCAGCCCAAGAAGGGGAATTTTTAAATACCAGGAATTAAACTGTATGATCGAAGTTTTATCAGATGTTATGCCAAAAATCCATACAGTCTGTAAAGAAAAATACCTATAAATATAGGGAAAGAGCAGTTGCACTGGTCTGTTCCCTAACCTCAGTGTCAAGTACCAGAACCTGATTGTGTACGTCTCACCAGCATTACCACAAATACTTGGGAATTAAAAGGAAGAACGCCTTTTCCATGTGCACTGGTAACAAACACCATATGTCCTGTGGAGGTGCCCTCAAATTGAATTTGGAAGGAATTCATCATTTTAAAAGCTTTTGTTATTTAAAAAAAAAAAGTGAAATGGCTGCAGTGTAGCAATTATGTTTTTAGTGGAGGGGGAAAAACGAATGCAAAAAATAAGAATGCAGGGGTGGCTCAGTGGTTGAGCGTCTGGCCCCGGGCGCGATCCTGGGGTTATGGGATTGAGTCCCACATTGGGCTCCCT